GAAAATAAAATGGTTTGGACACTGGGCTCCACTCAGTGTATCTCTGCAGCGTGAAGTCTTCCAGGACCCTCCCTGCCCCTTGAACGTTTCCCCCCTGCTGCCCTTCATTTGCTGCCGGGTAGTCAGTCCACGGCTGCTGCTTCATCTCTGTTGCTGCTGTGCTCCCGGCCTAGTACAGGTCCGACTTCTTAGCAGCGAGGGTTGGCTTAGTTGTTCTCCATTCAGTGGGTGACTTGGTTGCTTTTATAGCACCTCCCCTTATCCTTCCTGATGTAGAAGGTCAGTCTTCACCAGTGTCAAAGCTTAGTACCGTTTACCCTTGAATAATGTGGGAGCAAGGAGGACCAATCCACTGTACAGGTGAAAATCTGAGTATAACCTTGGACTCTCCCAGAACTTTACTACTAATAACCTACTTTTGACCGGCAGCCTTACTGATAACATAGTCGATTAACACATATTTTTTATGTTATGTGTATTATGTACTGTATTCTTAAATAAGCTAGCAAAAAGGAAATGTTATTAAAATCATAAGGAAAAGAAAATACATTTATAGTATTTATTGAAAAAAATCCATGTATAAGTGGACCTGTGAAGTCCATACTCGAGTTGTTCAAGGTCAACCGTAATCTTCAAAAAGGGGAAAATCATTTTCTTCTTATCAGTTTCCAATACTTAAGGGGTTTGGCAAAGCTTTTTCAGGGACCAGGTCCGATAGCATTTGAGTGGCGTTGCCTGGTGTCCTGCTTGGAATGGATCACCAGGGAGCTCGAGTGAAGCTCGGGGCCATGACTTTCACCCTCCTCACGGTTCGTCTCCTGGATATTCACGGAGGCGTTGGAAGTGCTTGTCCTTCTCCGCCTGTCTCAGCAGCTTTTAGCGCAGGTGGGCAGGTGTACAAACTTTGCAGTGAGAAGCATGAGTTGGAGGCCTGCTTTGCCTTGAGCAAGTTACTTCAACTGCTTAGTGCTTCAGTTTTCTCATATATAAAGTGGAGATAAAACTACCTATCTCTTAATGTTGTTGTGAGGTTTAATGTAAATATGGTGATCTCGGTACAGTCTTGGCACATAATAAAGTGTTTGCTAATTGTTAGCTACAGCTACTATTATTATATACTTTTTTCATCGTTGTCATTACTTTCCATGCTTTATCATCTGCACCAATTTTCTCTAATGCCAAGCTTGCAGAGGTGTGGTACAGTATTACTTTCCTCTCTGGGACTGTCATTCTGTGAATTTTAACATCTTTTCTGGGATTCTCTTCCTCCCTGCTCCACTCCACCCGTACCCACTACCTTACCGGTGCCAGCCTGTTTCCTATGGAAAGATCACAATGAAAATATAATAGGCAAATGAACTTCTGTCATGTCTTCTTTATATTTTAATCCAGTTGAACATCTGAGGCAAGACAATTTATAGTTTGGTGAAAGTTTAACTTCCAAATTTATTAAATAATGGCCATATAAGAATGTCGAAGGAAGAGTTACTGTAATTCTTTGTTGGAACCTAAGAACACCAAAGCATCATTCTTGGCGAAATGAGACGAATGCATATAAGAAGACAAGATCATTTCTGGTTAAAAGTGCCAAAATATCAAGTGTAGTTGTTGATAAATGAAGTGAGATTCTTCTAGGCTGGTATAGTTTAAAAGCAGGTAGGGCTTAAGCTGAGCCCTTGAAGGATGTGTGGAGTTTGGCAGGTGTGGATTTTGGGGAAGGGTTTCCCTATAAGAGTGGGAGATCTTCGACAGTGGGATTCCATACTGTGGAATAATGGAGCAGGGACCCTCTGGTCAGTCCCTGTACACCTACCCCATCCCCCAGCCACATTCAGTCAGCAGCCAAGTCCCTGTTTATTTGTTTATCCCTTTTGTTCCACCCCAGTTCTTGAATTCTTCAGGGATCTGTTTGGCCCTTTGCCTGTTTCATGCAACACTATGCTCTTCTTTTCCCACTTCAATTCTTTAATAGAAAAAGACACAGTCTCCCCGTGTCTTCCCTAGCCTAGGGTTTCTGAAACATGAACCCAAATAATATTTCAAAAAAGAGGTTATTATTGCAACAGTAAGGGAAATAAAGGCTAATAAGAAGAGCAAAAGAATTACAAAAATTACCTTAAAATAGCTGTGGGAGGTTGCAGCTAGATACACACGTTGTCGTGGCCTGTCCTCCAGGTTCCATTATGGTGTCTCCGCTACTTCTTGCCTTCCGTCTCGTGTCTCTCCAACCCTTTTCTGCAACAAACCAAGACACTGACTTTGGCCGTTATCTGACGGAGCATCACTTCCAGGTGTGGTGTGGTTCTCAGTTCTTTTCAGGACTAGCTTCCTGATCTCTTCCGGTGTTTTTCCCTTTGTTGCCTCGGGCTGCCCTGTTCATCACTTAGATTCTTCAGCGTGTCCCAGCATTCTTGGATCTAGGAGCTTCACTGAGGCTGCCTGTACACTTGGACCAGACGGCCTCCCAAGATTCTTTCCTTAGACTTTGTGCCATCATACACTGACCCGGCCATCGCTCACTTTCTCCTCTGCAAGGAATGTCTCCTTGGCCTTCTCCTTTGAAATTGCTATCTGATTCAAGTCTTACTGTTATCTATGGGGCCTTGATAATGAGACCCATCATCCTGTTTTATTTTATTTTGCAAACCCTTTCATAGCATTTTTCATGTCGAAGGCACAATTCTCAATGTTTTTAAAAATTAATTCATTTAATCCCAGAGGGAGGTTGCCAACATTCTATCAATTCCCACTGATTTAAGCTCTTAACAAACTTTTATTTCTTATACTTCAAAGACTTTGCCCCCCTATAAATTCTTTAGTGGGTTCCTGTTTAGTTTGAAGATGCCTCTAATTATTGGATTTTTGATATAGCAGTTTATGCTCTTAGTCCTTGCTCAGCTTACCAGCTTAACCCACTTTTTGACTGGTCCAAGAGTCAGAATTCAGTATCCATAAAATACACTGATTCCACTAAGTAAAGAATAAAAACAACTATAATTTCTTTTAACTGGGTGAGGCTTCTGTGAAACCAAGAGTCTATTTTTCATTATTTTAAATGGGAAAAAATTAAAATACAAGTCTACCTAAAACCCCTAGCCAGTTTACTGAAATGTAAGAGTATATAGTCAAATGCCTAGATATAAGTCCCAAACTATCATATGAGGATATAAATTGTTTAAAATTCTGTTCCTGATCATCAAACAATTAATATGATTTTTCACAAGCAGTTGCGGAATATGTAGCAATTAGATGCACTCAGTGCCATCAGTAACAAAGGATGTTTGGACATCTTCAAAACGTCAGCCTGTGATTGATGGTCTAACAGTGTTATTTGGAATATGACTTGAGACCTTTCTCATATACTATTTTGTTTAAAATAGATTTAATTTGCAAAATGTAAATACAGATTTTTTCTCATGTAAATACTTCCCTTTCCCTCCCTTCTTAAAAAAAAATTTCCATTCTGTAAAGTCTGGGTGTTATAAACCACGAGGTATTCTTCCAGAAGCAGGTTAACTTGAGCTGTTTTATGGAATATATTTATAATTAACTATTGTAAAATTAAAGCATCATTTCAAAGTCTAGGAAAATCATTTTTAAAGCTAAATGTAAGTGGATTTTACATTATTTCATGACTTTGAGATGATCTGCCATATTATTCTTCAGAGTAGATAAGAAATACATTTCTCTAAGTATTTCAGTGAAGAGTCTTTGCATGATTTAAGTAAGTTGGCTTTATTTTCATTTCATTCAGCTTTTTTTAATGTTGACATTTTTATTATCCTGTGTTCTCCATCTTTTCCTAATCTATGAAATTGTTTAGAGCTTGAAAAAAGTTTTGAAACATTTTTAAGAAAATTATCTTGCCTTTCCAATCTGTTGGTCACTTTTTATAGTCTCCTGATTCCTGAGGGTATTTTAACTTTTTATACATAGTAAGAGTAGTTGCTTTATATTCTGACTGATAGATAATCCCAGTATCTGAAACATTTGTGGATCTGTTTCCGCTGATTCTTACTCTTGCTGGCTTCTTTTCTTGTGTTATTTAGTGTTAAATTTTTTTGTTGTTTTAATTTTTAAAATGTTTTCCCCTGTTATCTGCTCATTATCCTTAACGATTATTTGTTGGGATTATTTGAGGAGCAGGATGAAAGTATCTTCTCCAGAGGGAAGTACATGTGGGCACCTTTAGGGGGAGACCGTCTCACAACTGTCTCACAAGGTCATAAGCTCTTAGGTTCCCTGGACCACTCAGGTGAGGGGAGGGGAGGGGAGCCCAGGTGGCACATTCGGGAGGGCTGGCTTGTGGCCACAGTGTTTCAGAAACAGGTTTGTTTTCTCTCTCTCTTCCCTCCGTTCTGCTCAGTGGCCAAGGCCGACCTCTCCGCAACCTGGAGGAATAGGATGAGACTACTTCTGGTTCCTCTTTATTCTGAGGAAGGGGTCCCAGCTGACTGTGTGTGACTTTGTGTTTGATGCTCTTCTTCTCTTTTTCGTTTTTCTCTAGATTTTGCCCTGGATTTTGCCCTAGATTTTTCCCTAGATTTCTTACTATCTTGTGACTCTTTTGTTTTTAAGGAGATTTATTTTTTTCTAGTTGTTTTAGTTGTCTTCAGTAGGAGGATTGGTCCACATAAGCCAAGCTACTGTTACTAGAAATTAGAAATCTTCCTCACTTGATCTATCGCAGTCCTGTGAGGTTTATGTGCAGAGGGATGACTGGGAGAAGTGCAGTGATCGATTTAAGATCATACAGGCGAGTGGCAGAGCCTGGAACTTCTGAGTCTGAGTCCACATTCTGCCTTTGAGCCTTTTTCAACTGGGTGTATTTTTAGAATTTTGAATGAAGCAGTCATATGTTGAGAAAGTTTTAAAAAATATGTAATACCTTTACAAAATCATTTAAACCATTGGCTGATTGACATAGGGTATGCTGGTGCAACTTTTTCCAGATATGGCATTTTAAATGGAAAATAATAATTGCTTTCTTTCTCTTTCAGCTGAAGTGAGTAGTGAATACAGTATGGACAAGGCAATGGTTGAATTTGCTATGATGGATCGGGAACTAAACCATTACGTAAAGGCTGTTCAGTCTGCGATAAATCATGTAAGTTTACAGCACACACCTGGTGATATATGGTTATAACTCTGATCTAAAAATAAAAACACAAAATCAAAATTCTTCCCTGACCTTTCATATTTCCTTATCCTTACTATAGCAGCTATTAATTTCTTTTTAATCAGGAAGTTCTTAGAATAGGAATCTGAAATATTTTCCCAGCTAGGCCACCTAGTTTAATTAGGATGTTACATCTATTTTAGAGTTCTCGCTTTTTTTTTTTTTTTTTTTTGGTTTCAAAATTTTTAGTCTACCTCCTTCAATTATGGAGAACACCAAAGAGCTTTTGTTTATGTGCACTCTAACTATCAAGATTTACCATATTAGAAATTTAAACCTACACCTATTGCAGGTTAAAATGAATAATATTTTTTTTTTTTTTTGGTCTCAAAATTTTTAGTCTAAGCCTCCTTCAATATGAGATTTTTATAAAATGCTAAAAATTGCATAGAACTTGTTTTTATTGTCTTATGTGCTTAAGCATACAATTTAGACCAGGTTTAGTTACTCATTCTCCAGCTATAATTAATATGCAGCTATTGCAAAATTCGTAGAATCAGATAATATAGAAGAGTTTCAGAGCAAGTTGAAAACTAAAGAAGGTTGGCATTTTGGTTTTTCCAGAAGCCGAAGTTATCTTTGTTGACTCCAGCTGTCACAGGAACGGATAGGCAGTTAAGGTGGGAGCATAGCAACATCCTTTTCAGCAGTGCCCTGTTGAGTAAGAAGTGAACAATACAGTTGCAGTAATGTTTCTGGGAAGTCCTTTGTCCTCCTCTAAGCAGTGGAAACTCCCCTTTGAACTGATTTCAGATACCTGTGTCATAGGATGTCTTGTACTTCTGGTTTCTTTATTTGCCTTTTCTTACCTACATCTATGGGAAAATTCCAAAAATCAAATATTTTACAAGGTTGGCTACTGTTCAGTGGAAGATAAATGATTAAATACGGTTTAATACTTAAACCATGCTTAAATGAGCATTACATAGCTATATATTCATAGTTATGAAGTTTTTAAAAAATTTTTTAATGTTTTTTTCTGGTTTGAAGTTTTTTTTCCTGAGGTTTTTTATTGTTGTTGTTGTTAGTATTTAAGTGTATCATTTGTGACTAACTTAAAAATATCTGCTTATATTCAAGTAGTAAACTCATTCAGCTTGTAAATTCTGATCTTTCTAACCATTGTGGCTATTAGTCCTCATACTGTGAATATTTATTCCATAGGAAAATATGAAAATGACATTATGTTGGGGCATTTGAAACTGGGCAACAAAGCCCTCAGATCAGAGGTTTTCAGTTGCAGCTGACCCCTAGAACCAGCCAGACTCTGCTCTAAAGAGATTCTGATTTCACTGGTCTGGAGCAGGATGGCAGCACTAGTATTTTTATTTTAAAAACGCATTCTAACGTGTATCCAGGGTTGCAAATGACTGACTTAAAAGAACAAAGTTGACTTTACAGAATGAAGTGTTTGGTACCAAAGCTCAGAGTTGGGCCTATTAGATCAGCCCTGTTTTGGCCCTTACATTCTGTGGAGGCTGTTCAATGGGTGCTTTCTAGCTTTGAAGTTACATAAACAGCATGCATTAGAGGGAAGTTAAAAAACTTAACATGGATTTTTTTCCTATTACACTGTAGGATTCACAGATACGTAAGGTATTTTTGCATAAAGAATTGAACTCTCCCCCCTTCAAAAAACTGAGCCATTCATAAAAAAAAAAAAGTCAAAGACAAAGAAACCCTTACCCTCACCCACAGTCAGGAGTTAACAGTGTTTCTTTCATCTTGAGGCCTCATCCCATTCCCCTCACTCTGCTAAACAGAAAAGATTGTGCTCTGAGTTGTATCCCACTTCTTAGCCCTAACTTCACACTAGTCTGTGGAACAACTGGATTAGTGATTCTTGTGCTTGTAATAAAGGTCCCTGGTCTTTCATAAGAAGAGAAGACATGTTTATTGTCCTTTTCTGGAGCAAAGTTGTGCTCTATGTAAGCTTCATACAAGACCAAGAATAGTAAACTGTAAGATGTCTAAGGCCTGAAACCATATGGGGACACAGTGGGAATATGGCCATTATTTCGAGGGAGATATTTTATGCCTCATAACATACTATGCACTCTTTATATACTTGCAGTTGTGGACATTGCTATCTTATTGCTTGTTTTCGTGAGGGATAAAGCATGAAGAGGAACCAGAATGGTAAAGCTCTTTAGAAATAGCAATTATTTAGGGGTCGGAAACCCTTCCAACCCTAGCTCTTCCATTTTCTAAGTTATGATCCTGAGTCAAGCAATGCAACCTCTTGGAACCTCATGTTCTTCATCTATAAAATCCTCGGCCTCCCTATTTCACAAGATTATTATATGAGTCAGATTAGAATACCGTGTAACAAACACTTTGACATTCATAAAATTTGATGCAGATGTAAGATATTATGTTATTGCAAATCCAGATTGCTAAACATATTCCTTAAAAAGATGGAACAAAATCTTTCTTAAAAACATACTTTGCTCACTATATTTCAAGACTTTGAAATAAAACTTTTATTGACTTTGACCTGTCCTAGTTTCGAATTCAGGAATTATAGGGTTAGATAAAAGCTAAGTTATGTTATAATATGAGGTGTTTATGATAACCAAACAAAGAAATTGTTTTAAGTCAGATTACTAAGAAAGAATACAGATACTAGGAACCCGTACGAGTCCCTATCTAACTTTGGCTGCAGCACTTCCATGACTGTATCATTTGCCCAGATTCTTAAAAAAAAAAAAAATTTTTTAAATTTTTATTTGTCCAGATTCTGATCCATCTTGTGGTTTTTCTGTTTATGAATTTTTGTATAGTTACAGTACAGTAAAATTTTTTTTAATCATCAAAGAGCTTTTCTTTATTATTTAAAGAACTGTCTCTCTCCTGCTCTCACCTTCACAGAATTCTGAAAGATTTTAGAAGTTTGCTTTGGAACCTTAGAGGTGTAGGTCAGTTTACCATCAATCTCTGGGAAGTCCCTCTCAGCAGAAGCTCTCAGATTGCTTTTCTTTGTCCTTTGAGAAAATAGAGCGACTTTATTTTACAATGCCTGAAGATTTTCTTTGGAATCGGTATTTATTTCAGTGCTCTGGAATTAGGACTTCATCTCACATAGTTTCTAGAGAGAATATTATGCTGTGAACACTAAAAAAAATTCCCAAATAGTCTATAAGTCGTTTATAAAAACTTTCAGGATAGGGGGAGTTATATACCTGTCACAACTTTTAAACATGCATTTTGGACCACAAAGAGTTTTGTATGAATTCTTTGGAGATTTTCAGCCATGAGACCACACATGTGATGAAAGTGTTTTGAAACTATGAAATGCACACAGATTCACTATGGTGCAGTTACTTCTTTTATAACTGTTACTGCCAGAGAATAGCTTTTCTCAGTTTCATGTTGAAACAGAGTGAAGTTCTGAACACTAGACTTGATGACCTAATATTAACTCCTTCATATGATTTCTAAGCTTTTATTATTTGAGTATATTGAAGGAGCACTGTTGGCTGGCTTTTTGTCTCATTCAGTGAGTAAATATTATGTGCCAGATACTTCTGGGTGCAAAGCCCACCTCAGGTTGTCTGAAGTCTGGAGAGGGAGACAAACGTTTACACAGAACAATACAGATGGTATTTAATAACTATTATGGGAAAACAAAGCGTTCAAGGAGAGTAAATAACATGAGGCATAATATTTTCTGGGGTTTGGGGGAAATCCTTCCCGAGGAAGTGATATTTAAGCTGAAAGTCAAATAAGCCTCAGCAAGGAGATCGTGATATATAACTTCTCTAGGTGACTTTTGCATGAAATGGAAGCATCTTTTTTCTGATTTTCTCAATGTCAGAGTTTCAGAGTGCCTTGATCAATTCAAAGATTTAATTTGAGAAAATTAGCACAGAGAAAGCCTACTTTTGTATTTAGAAGTATAAAGTATATAGAGTAGTCGAGGAACCTACCCAAGCTTGGTCAGTTATTCATTCACAGATATGAGTGCCTATTGTGTGCCAGGAGCTGTGCTTAAGTCATGCAAGTCATGGCCACAGTTGATTTCAGAATAATTTCATTACTGATATTTTGCTTCTCAAACCACTTCACTAGTCACCTGTTGGTTTATCCCTTTTGAAAAGAGACTTTTTATCCCGTATCAAGTACGCAGTGGTAATACTACATATTTCTGAATCTGTGTTTACGTGATTGTGTAAAACTAAACCTGTAGTTTCATCCTGTGGGCCTCAGATTCCAGAGCTAGGGCACCAGTTTCGATCAAGGAATCCTCAAATCCATTTTCGGGTGTGCATTTCTTCAAATAAGACATGGTAAAGAGTCCAATCACTATCATGCGACAATCCTTGCAACTTTTTTATACTCCGATTCTCATAGTGAAAAAGGATGGAACTAGGAAGCTACATGATGAACAGCCTAGGTTCGGATTCGTTTCACCTGTCATTAGCCGTCAGTGACAAAATACTTATCTTCTGTGCTTTTTGCTGAGCAGCCTAGTCCTAGAATTTAATACAAGTAATTAAGCTTGAGATTCACATTATATGTTGGCATTTACTTTTTATCGTGATACTTAATTGTGCGATTTAACTTTAACAAACTTTAAATCTCAAAAGAATGTCAGGTTTTACCTGTATATTGTTCTTTTAGTATGTGCTGCTTCAGCATGTAAATTTATTGGAAAATCGAGAGTTTTATTTTCTTCACTTGCCTACTCTGTCTGGTGCTCCATGCATCTTATAGATTATGTAAGATTTGAAAGCATTTAAATCAGATTGTTGCCACATGTTTGTTTTTGTTTTCTTTAAGTCAATATTTTATAATAATTCCTACCAAAAGCCTGAGGAGGGAGAGTATTTTTTTCCTTAACCTAACAGGAGCAATTAAAAGCTAGTTTGATATACTTGTGTTGTTTCATATAAATCTGTTCATGGATTATGTCCTGTGTGTTGTGG